CAGACCTTTCTTGAATACAGGTATTACTTTTGCCAGCTTAAATCTCTCTATTACTTTTGCCAGCTTAAATCTCTCAGGAACAATTCCTGTTAAGATGGACTCATTAAAAACTGTTTCCAGGGGTGTTGCTATAACACTTTTAAGTAATTTTAATACTGAAATTGGTATGCTAAAAAGACCAGTAGACTTATTTGTCCTTAAAGACATTATTTCATTTTCTATCTCCAACGATGTTATAGGATGTATAAAGAAACTATCACGTTGAGGAGTTGTGACTTTGTGAAAATTTTTTTGTGTCTAATTAGTGACTTTGTGAAAATTTTTTTGCATAAGTTATTTTCTATCACCAAACTCTTTCTAAAAATGATACTTTCACATTAATATGGTATAAATTGAAAAAAAAAAGGTTTAAAGGTGAATGACCACCGTACTTAATAGAAGAAAAAAAGGCCTTGAATATATTTCGAAACAATAGCAAGCATTTCATGAGAGTTATTTTGGTCGTGAAAATTACCTGACTAGACTCTCCTTGCATTCTAAAGTTTCTCTGCTTGGTACTCCCCTATAACCAACTTGTGATAATACATCCAGAACATCATCTTCAACCAAAATAGAACGCAACTGTTCAACTGTGCTAATTTTGTCAATCTAGAACAACAACAAATTGCATTTCATATCACATGCATGTATGAATTAGTAACTAAAAACAGTTCAGATGGAATGCAAATTTTGCCATTCAACCAAATATAAAAATAAGTAGGGCACACTGGAGTGTATTGTGTCTCAATGGGTTAACATGCTTACCAGGAAACCAAAACTGAAAAAGCTTTAAAAGTACCCTATATATATATATTACCTTATTGGCAATGGTCTTGAAATTTCCATTTTCTATCATATCCAATGACAGACAAGTCTGGCCTTTGAAACCTCTTGAAATGATGTCATAGATGACAGGAGACATAAAATTTGGTGCTGGGCCACCTTGTACAATGGACATGACCATCAGTTCGGCTCCAAGTTTAAATGTTTCTTCTGTTAGAGCAACAGTACTCTCCACTGGTAAACCATTTGAATGAAAAATTCGTAGCTTCAGTTGTTCAAGTGCATCTGTAAGAAAGAGAAAGAACGATTCTGTTTGTAATTAATAGTTAGCACGAAATTTCTCAGACTTGTGGTTTCACAAACCCAACATTAAACCCTGTCTTAAGCAATTTGAGAAGGCATGCACATATCCATACAGTGTACTATACCTGTAAAAAATTCACGTTTTGGCCCACCATCATCGATAGCAGTTTCTCCTATGAAAACAACTTTTATGCAATCCTCTGGTTTAAACCACGGTCTTCTCTTCCTTGTGTTAAGGTAATCTGCTAAAACCGTTTTTCTTTGAACGTTTATTCTGTTGGTTGACATTCCCACATTTTTCTGTAGTTCCTGAATTACTTCAATCAGTTTACCTCTGCTGATTTCCTGGGTACCTCCACTAGGAGAAACAGTTTCTTCAGGGGCTTCGCTGTGTGTATGTGTTTCATCATGCTGCATATCAGTATCAGAATTGTTTTCAAAGCTTGACATCAAATTTGCATATATAAGCCGTTCTGATCCATGCCAGGTAGATTCAGCACACCGATCTGCATGTTCCTCGATTTCATTGATTTCAAATTGTCCATCACATGTTGGACAAGAAACAAAAGGTCCAGTTTCAACCTCTCTTGCTAAATTAGGTTCTAAAGCCACTTGCTCTGGATGCTGAAGGCCAACCTGTTCTCTGGATGTTGGATGCCTGGAAGTGCAAGCCTGTTCATTGGATGTTGAAGGTGATGTTGAACCATGGAGAAAACTAACAGCAGTATTGGTATTGCTATCATCAATATGTATGACACACGGCTTTTGTTCTTTTTTAAGCATTGTAGATTTAATTATGTCCTCTTCATCAAACTCATCTTCTTCTTGATTTGACTGACTGCCATCGCTGCTTTCTTCATTTTTAAAACTATACATGTTCAGAGAAGAACTGATATCTGTTGTAGCCCTAATGTACAGCGGGGCTTGGCCAGAAATATGTTTCAACAGCCTTCCGTCGTAGCTTTGGCAATCTTGTCTTCTTGCAGAAATTATTTTGCTGTTAATGGCACGCACGAACTCGAACTTCGGTACCTTTTCCGCTCCCAACAGCTTTCGCTTAAATTTTTCTTCAAGATTTTTTCTAATTTCTTGTTCACTCATTGTCGGGATCAGTTCAAGCGTGGTAACGAAATCATTAGTATACAAACCTTCTCGTGTTGCCCCACGTGGAACTTTATTAAACTTTGGACCAGGCAACAAAATCACATCCTTAATGGTTGAACGCTGTTCCACATCTTTGGTTTTCTTTGCATTCACTTTCGTTGATTTAGCCCTTTTCTTACCCCGAGGCTGATAGCTCTGGCTTGGTTGAAAACGGGCACGTTGTCCAACAAACTGTCTATCGATAGAATTAGCAACATTATTTTGAATGTCACGTCTACTGCTCTCAGACTCGGAACTCGCGTTTTGTGCCGTCGCTGCCGTGCCATTTGTCGATGGAAAAAGCGATCTTATTGCTGTTTCAACGTCATTACTTGTTGAATTCTGTAAACTTTGTGTAGTTACATTACTTTCTATGTTCTGGCTGGATTGCTGGAAGGCGGAGATAGCGTTCACAAGACCAGAAAGAGCATGCATGTGTCTCTCCGCCATATTTACATCTTTCCCGCGGAGAAAGCTCTCCGCTAAAAAATTCCGAATAATTTTTTCGCGTCTTAAAATTTTTTCGCGTATTATATTTGAATTGCCGATACATTTGGGAAGTTGACATTATATTTGGAAATTTGGTATTATATTTGAGAAGTTGATAAATTTGGTATTATATTTGAGAAGTTGATATAAATATGTGCGATAAAATTGATATTATATTTGGGAGTTTCGAATTTGTTATTATATTTGGGAGTTTCGCATTATATTTGTGAATTTGTTATTACATTTGCGAATTTCGCATTATATTTGCATGTTTGCTATTATATTTTTGGATTTCGCGCTCAGTATTCGCAATTGGTCTTATATTTTTGGTCTTGATAATAAATATATACGGCTATATCGATTATTGTCCATCTTGGCGCGCCATAGATTATGACCTACCTAGATTATGCGACCTAGATTATGCGACTAGATTATGCGACCTAGATTTTTGACCTACCTAGATTATGCGACCCTATCCAGTCTCGTTGCCAAATTTGGAGATTGTCTCCATATTGACTCTACCTTTCTTAAAACCGAGTGCGAACGGGCGAAGATTCTAATTGCTGCTGGAAAGAACATCGATCCTGAACTGTACCCCAACTTATCCAAGGTGATTGCTATATCAAAGACCTTGCCAGTTGGTACTGCAACCGTGGAAAGAAGCTTCAGTGCTATGAATCGGATATTGAGCTGGGCTTGTAATAGCTTAGACAGTTCGTTGGCCAGTGACTTTATGTTGCTATCCATGAATAAAGACCTGTTAAAAAGAATAAACTTGGACAAAGTGCTTGATCGATGGGTAAATCAAAAATCCCGAATCGTACAGTTTAAGTAAAGACTTGTAGCGCAGCTAGCGCTTAAAACTAATTTAATTTGACTTTTTTTCAGAATTCATAACACTCATTGTGTGACTTGTGAGATTATAAATGTAGAATACTTTTGCTAGTTTTTAGCTTGTTTTTATTAAAACTTACCGTTTCGTTTCCTTATATTGTGCTTTCAGTTTTCAAAACTATGAATTATGAAATCTAGCTAAAATATAATTTTAGTAAAATTTTCGCCCCCCCCCCCCTAGTTTCCGCCACTGCCTATAGGTATCTCAATTTGTACGATACTATTTCTTTTGATATGTCATGTTTTCATTGCTGTATGGTGTCCTGCCGCTGTATTGTTTTTTCGAAACTTGTAAAGTGAAAAGTGTATTAAAACTTTATTTCGAGGCAGCCAAGCAATTGTTTTACATTCCACTTTAAAAAAATTTTCTCAGCCATTTCCAGAACAAATTAATGCTAAACAGAAACTATTTTTTAATTCTAAATTTGGTAAAAAAAGTCATCCCATCATTGCATGTGTTTATATTCCAAGCAGAAATCGAGAAAAACAACTTTGCAATAAAGCAATAAAGCGTGCGTGCACAAGAAACACTGCAACACTAAAACAGTAACTGTAAAACCGGCCGAAAAAGTTTTATTTTTGAATTTTAATTAAACTGATATTTGGATATTTTGTTTTATTCATTAAAAATTTATACTAAAACAATTATTCGCCTTAGGCTCAGTGATTACGGTCAATATTCACCTCGATTTCGTCTCGGTGAATATTAACCGGTAATGACTTCGCGTTCGGCGAATAATTTGTTAAATATTTATATTGCGGTGTTTTTGAGCTAGTGCTTGACGGGCAGTAGAAACAAAGTTTTGTTTCAATCAAACTCACGGTCGTTCGTTGCGGGGGTTTGAGGTAGGATTTAGTCAATATTTGAGGTAGGATTTAGTTTTGAGGTAGGATTTAGTCAATATTAGAAATCTTACAGTACCTGGACAAGAGAACTACCGTTTTCAGTATCTTTATTGTTTCCCAAGCAATGAATCAGATAATCTTTCAAACTTCCATGTTTCTGATTTCTAAAATATTCTATCCAAAGCTCTTCTGCATCATGCTTTAGTTTTGTTGCTGGTAACCTAGCAATAGCATCGGGTGATGCACACTGCAACAGCGTGTATTTTGATTGGGACAGAATCTAGGAAGAAAAACAATACTTCAGTCTGCTCCAGAGAACATTTTGGCAGTAGAGGGAAATTATAGTAGCACAAACAATTCCAGCTAAGTTGATCTTGCAACATCAAATCTTGCCATTTTATTAATCCAGAAAGCAAATAATATTCAGGTATACTAGAAATACATGCATGCAGTAACAGATCGCCAATATTTTCCAAACATTAAATTAACATGAGGTATTCAGAAATGCCAAACACTGAACGCAGGCTCGCGCTCAAGTGTTGTCATGACAACACGATATTCTTAAATTTTTAATTTTTTCATATTTTTTGTACAAATTACTACAAAACTGCAAAATAGTCGAAAGATTCGTACTTTTAACCATACAACAATAAATTTCCGAAATATATACTGTACGTATATTATTTTGCATTTTGTGAGCTTTGATTTAATGTAAAATTTAACTTGAAACGCTTCGTAAAATGCTTTGAAATGTTCATTCAGTTAAACTACATTTGCCGATAAACTGTTTTTACTTAATAAAACATAATAAGTTTAAAACAAATAAAACAAATTGTTAGGTAATTTCAGTTCAGTCTTCAAATCAATTTGTTCCCCTTTACATTTTAAGATTTTTTCTCAAATTAAACGGTAATTTATGAAACTTAGAGCTTCGTTGAAAAGGAAAACAGTTCATGTTTTTAATAGGCAAAAATGTAAAGCAACAAAATTCGTAAACATCAAATACTTGCCGTATATTTCACGATTTCCCATAGTAAATCAATTCTTCTCAATTCTTCAAACAAAATTGTTTCAAGCTTGTTGTATATGAAACGATATATATGTCTTTTAAATATATGTCTTTTAAAACTGAAATCTTGCTTATCCCATATTCCACAGCAATCAGCCATATTTTTGAGATCAGTGAGGATGACCACCCACTCAAGATCGTTGGTCACGCCCGCGATCATTGATGAACTTAAGATTCCGCTAATGCTTTCGTTTCCCCGGGTGTACATAGCCGGGGGAATTAGTACCCTCGCCCCGGGCTTACGCCCGGAACGGCGCTCCGCGCCGTTGGCTCGGGGATAATAGTCAGCTGTCGCCTCGTGGAATGGAAATTCCATCTTTCACCTCTTTAAAATATTTTTACCATTGCACTTATAGACATTCATTGTTTACATATTTATTTGCACAGTAAATTAAATGTAATAAAAATCTTAAATTAGGCCTGGGAGGGAGATAACAATCGTTGGGACAAGAACCACCAGCTCTGAATGGAGGGGGACTTCCAAGGGATTCAGTTTTACTTGTAGTTGCTAGTGCTTGAAGCATCTCAGCTAGCCGTCGTTTTAAAGAATAAAACAAATGAATCAAACAGGTAAAACACATGGAAATTTCTTCACGTTGTTCATGGGTAATACAGTATTACAGGAATCTCCGGTCAAATGCTGGCGACTTAGTAGGTCTGTCGAATCTATACCAAGCTGTGTATAAAAAATTCCTACCTGCTCATCAGACGAACCATTTCCAAGGTTGGAAGTGTTCATAACTACCGCTGCAGCAGTATCGCTATGGTAACCAACAAAAGAATCACCAGGCTTGAATATGCTATAATGTCAAAAAAAGGACTGCATTTCAGAATGCAAGCTATCATTAAATGATCATACCAAACAATGTACATACTGGCACGTACATACTGGCAATGTACATTCTGCCTCACGTTTACAGGATAAGTGGATGATTGATAATTAATTGTAAATGGTCATTTACTAGTGTCAGCTACTCTGATATTTAACTACTTGACAGTCTTTTTCTCTTTTCGAGCGTATCATCTAGTACAACATAACTGTTTCATGTATAATCAACTCATTCATATACAAGTTTGCTACGCTTTTGCACTAAAGCCCTGGCCAAACGAGGATGAGAGTTGATGAGAGTTGCCAAGCGAGATTTTGCATGAGAGTTTTCTCAGCACTTGTGCCCTGGTCACGATTTAATGAAACTTGATTAGACAAGTTGAGATTGCACCGCGCGTGCAATAAACTAATCGAATGTGTATATCAAACTAAAGAGAGGCAGCAGTAGTGGAAGTCAAATTTGAACCTCTCTAGTCGTTACTATACCGCGGGCGTAAACTCTTAACAACTCTCATCATAATTTGAACCAGCTCAAAGTTGATGAGTGATAATGAGAGTGCATAATGAGTTGGCGGTCAAACGAGAGGGAGAGTTGTCTGGATTGAAGGATGGCTGATCGCCGACTATTATATTGAAATCTGCTTAGTATATTACAATATAAGAAAATTTATATATAACAATATACAAATTACAGTTAATGAGACAACACGCGAATCGGTTTCAAACTACCTTAATCTCCCATAAGCAGGACACGCTTGTCAGGAGTCACACAATAGAGCAATAATTAATCGGTCAAAGTTCGAGTATTTTGCGGGCGTGCAAAAAGAACGAAGCAGTAACTGACAGATCATATGTGAGCAGCGAACATGCAAGGCAAAGGTCAAGACAAAAGGGCCATCAATCTCACAAATTCCCTAATAGCCTGTTTTCTGTGACCTCGAAAAGTTCCTAGAAAACGATTTTCATGATCATTTAGCATGTCTTGGAACTAAAATATTTCTACGGGAATTAACACTTTCCAACACGCTAAGTTCAAATCCGAAAAATTTTATCATTGTTCAACGACACGGATGGATGAAGACACACGATTGACAATCTCTACGTATATTTAACAAAAGACCGTTTTGCTTGATTCATTTTGAGTTATGTAATTTCAGCGCGTTGGACGGCAAACAACATAATTATTTTGTCTACAACTTTGAGAAGGTACCGATATCGCTTTCTAAAATCATTCAAATCCTCAGTTCTGGCTCCATCTCTATAAAATCACAAGGACGTTAATGTTTTGTCTTTGGGATATATATGTCTCTGGGCTGAGATATAATTCCTTACATGCGATCAAAATGTTTGATACAACGATGTAAAACGGTAATCTATGTAATGGCTGCATTTAAATATCCAACACAGTTTCTGAGACGTAATTCATGAGGTATATTGTATCTGTAATTTATCATTGCAATTGAACTATTATATCAGTTGGTGTTATTCTGTGCAATATGCAAATATTATTGGAAAGAGGGCTTCCATATCGTAAACAACATATCTTGTCTACAACTTTGAGAAGGTACAGATAACGCTTTCTAAAATCCTCAGTTCTAGCGATATCTCTATAAAATCACAAGGACGTTAATGAGAAGTCTTTTGGCTATGTCACGGACCTGAAAAATAACTCTTTTAACGCGATCAAGATATTTAAAACAAAAGTAACGCAAAGCCAACGTAACGGCAAAGACAACGCTAAAATGAAATATTGTTGATGGGTTGCTGGTAGAAGACTTACGACAGGATCAATCTTAAATAACCTTAAAATAGAAGAATAAATGTTCACATCAAAGACAAAAATCTGCTCTTTACACTTACGAAGTGGAGAAATGTGTCCAATACGCATAATATTACATAACTAGTCAAAATGAGTCGAGCAAAACGGTCTTTTGTAAAAAAGGAGCAGTGGTTTTATTAATATAAATTGGTCCATTTGAGTGACATAATCGTGTGTCGTCAACGATCCGTGCCGTTGAACAATGAAAAAATATATGGCGTGAAACTCGTGAAGATAAAAATAATAGCAGTTTGTAAGAAAACTGCGGGTCTACGAAGCGGGAAAAAAATTTCGGATTTAAACTCAGCTTGAAAGTGTTCGTTCCAGTAAAAATATTTCGGTTCCAGTAAAAGTATTTCGGTTCCAAGACATGCTAAATGACAACCTCGTACCCAGGGCTTTTTGCTTCCGCGGTTGGATGGTCAACGAAAAAGGCCCTGGCTTCGGCTGGTCTGTTTTGCAACCTGATTGGTCAATGATATTGAATGTAATTATTCAATATGTGTGGGAATAATTATTATTTTAGTGGAACGAGAGTGGAGTGACAAATTTATAATTAGTTCTTGAAGGACTAAAGTATTGAGCAAATAAGATTTTTGACATTTGAGATACAGCAAGAATTAGGGAAAGACAATACATCACAAAACAACTTGGTCAAAATTAACTAGTCTTTGTACATTTTGTATAGACGAGTATTTGCTTCGGTTCAACATACATTTCTCCCATGCGTTGTTTACACATCTTTGATTTCAAGAAACGTACAGCGTTATAGTCAAATAAAGATTGTGATACGTATATATTTGCTCATATTAAACACGATTTATATAAACCAAACGCTGAAGCGGTTTGTTTTTTTGTTTTTTTGTTTTTTTTTAGTTACTTATTAAGTTATGTTTAAAAGTCATCAATATTACGGGATATGTTGCTGAATGAGGTGCGAACAACGAAAACCGAATAAAGTCAACTTATTTTGTTACTTTCTCTTTGATTATATACGCAGCATTGAGTTTGTTTACTCCTGTCAGTAATTACAATGTATATAATTATTCTATATACGTACTTATACGCATAAATTATCATAATTGAACACCCCAAATACTGGAGATTTTGAGGTCATGTGACCGGCCGATGCCAGGGCCATTTTCGCTGATCGGAAGCAAAATGCCCTGGGTACGAGGTTGGCTAAATGAAAGTGGACGAAACCCGGATCGCAGCAAGGGGGCCTATAAGTATTCCGGTGAATTCAAACCTTTCAAATTTCGTTTGGAACGAAACAAAATGTTCAAATTCCTCAAGTTTTCGGTGACAAAATTCTGGTATAACATTTGCCTATATTTTCAATATATGTAATTAATCGATTTATATGTCACTGTGAATCTGATCTTCGATTCGGCTTTACGTCCAAAGTTCAAGCGTAATGATTTTTTCATTGTATGTGTGGGGAGCCTTTTTCATCCTAATTTTATGGTTCTTCTTGTGAAAACCAAGAAGTAGCTTGAACTAAATAACGTATCTGTCCATAACTAGGCAAAGGCTTCAGAAAAGGGAGCTTATTTATGCATGCCAAGAAATTTGAAATCTTAAACAATTGCATGCTGTGCAGATGGATAAATTGGGAGCATTTATGGTAACACTAAGTTGGTTTTTTTTTCAAAAACTTGGCACTATATATAATATATGTTTGTCCTCGAGCACGGGACGAGGGTACTAATTCCGCACGGCTATTTACACCCGGGTAGTTGAGAACAAAGCGAAGCGCAAAGTCGTCCTCTATTTGATTATGTTATGGACGGTTTTTGACGTTATGCGCATGCGCGATTATAAGCTCTGGCTGTAAATTTTATTTCTCATTTTGCAAAGACGTATTTTGCTGTTTTACAGCATATTGTTTTAACTTTAATTCGGTAAAGAAGTTTACAAAAGTACAAAATGTTTCTTTTGGATTTGAACTGAAAATAAGCCTGCAGTTTCATGAATTAATGACAGTCAACCGTTAAACAAAGTTTGAAAGGCATAAACACGAATTTTGTCGAAGACGAACCTCATGTTTTTATTAATTTAATCGTTGTGTTTGCCAAAACAATGTGTCTGGGTAAGTGTAAACATTTCAGTAGTAAAATTCCATACCGTACTTACTTTATATTGTCGATTTTATTCATATCTGCGAATAATATGTTTTTATGCAAGCTGGTGTATACATGAAATTGCCGTTCATTAATCCAGCGCATCAGTTTTTTTTTAAATTTTCCCCATGTACAATAAATTTATGTGTGGTATATTTACAATAATTGTAGAGTGCGGGCTAGAGACCTACTAGAAATCTTTGTAGACTTTATTTAGGTCTCTAGTTATTCTAGTTTGTATTATATTAATATGTAATAAATTATTTACAGTCAATCACAATATTAATTAAAGGAATATATATGTATTTACAAGAGAGAAAAAGAAGAGAAATTTTTCTTAATATAGAAGTGAATACCAATGTTGTAAATGCATTTGGGTTCTTATAAGAATCAGACTACCGAATATACTATTAATTTTGTCACATAGCAGAATGTTTTATAGCTTGTCTTATACATTGTATAGTAAGAAATGTTGTTTAATTTGCTTTTTGAAAGTGCTGTAGAAATTTATATCTATAAATTTTGTTTCTATAGCTACAACTCCTTTATTTGAGAGAGTGTGTTCTACATAATTTTTTCTTTTATAACATTTGTGAAGTTTTGATGCATTTCTTGTGTTATATTGATGAATTTGGTTGTTTGTCACAAAATAATCTTTAAAAAAATCTGGTAAATTATTAAGATGGCGTTATCGAAACATAAATAAGCAGTTAAATAGTCGTTGATTTTGAAGATGTTGAGGATATTTAAAGTGCTACTGCAGCGAATTTTTGGACCTACTTTTTTTTTAGCTTAAATAAAAATTCAGTCTTTTAGAAGCATTTTCATATATATTTGACCATCATGAAGTTGGTTATCGGTTGCATATATATTTGACCTCTGAAGTTGGTTATCGCGTGCAAACTTTTCCGCCGCCATATTGATGCCGTGTGACGTCATAAGATGAACGGAAACGAAGTTACGAAGTTATGAAGGTCGTATTTGTAGTAAACTATATGGCGCGTCATAATATATTGCAGTGGAATTTTTGTCTATTTCACTAATTTATGGCGCAGATAACTGATTTTTGAAAATCGAAAAACAAGTGCTATATCTTATTGCTTATTTGACGGCGGAATGACGGTTAGAGACTCAGATAATAGGGTCAGTACTACATCTGGAAGTCAACGAATACGGACTCGGCTAAGTCGGCTTTGAAACTACGATGATGAACCAGTTACCTAACAGCTTTTATACAGCTTCACTAGACGAAGTGATAGAGACATTATATAACGCTGCTGCAGGTATAGGCAACTACCATCTGTCACTATGTAGCTATAGATCCTTTTTATTGCATGTATATTTATATTGTATTGTGCTCGCCTCAGTATTGTGTCTGATTGTTTGAACACATCTGGTGTGTGCAACTTAATGTTTATTATAAACTCGATTGTGCGTGACAAAAAATATAATAACGTTTATAAACACAAGCATATTCATAGCCTAATAATTCGCAATACTCAAAATGATTTTGATTTTGTTTTTAATAGATAGCGATAGGTGTAATTGGCAATTATAGGCTGTGGTTCTATTGATGGCTAGTTTTACTTGAATGGGAAAACAGAAGAACATAATTTCCAACAACAAAGACAAAGCTGCCTTACGTTTGAGCAGAAAAGCGGTCGACGTTAGTTGGATTGTGACTGAATAAACCTAATTTAAACCTAATAAAACACTCCTGCTCGTTTATTAAACAGTACATAACCATTGAGTCAAAATTGTGCCACTGTGCAATATCACATTTACTGTAACATTTTGAAATTATATTCATCCCACATGTTTTGTGCACAAATATAGGCTATTCCTCACATATACCAGTACAATATTATACTATTGTATTATTATATTTATTGTTACTTTATACTACGTAATATGTATTATTGATATGACCGAATATAACTGCAATGGCATCGTTTCTCTCAAAATGCCATCAGAAGTCTTGACGAAACTAGGTCAAGGCATGGTGAATTGTTGTCTTTATTTCAATCTCAAGATGCTCTGGACAAAAAACTAACTTAACAGGAGATAGTCTTTTTACAACCACAAATGATCTAAAACATAAGAAATGTTAAACACTTTATAGACTAACTATATAGCATCATTTGCGCAAAATATTCACCATGTGTGCGAACATGTTAATTTGTACTTCACTATATATACCTGAATTATTTGCCTTGCGTCTCATGTTAGTTGTACTTTAGCCAGGGGAACAATTCTAGCCATGTAAATGTTAACAATCCCGTCCTTCCGTATTCTTTCCATTTTACAAGGTCTTGTCAATGAAAATAAGATATACCACGAATCTTCAAAACGGGCTCAATCAAAACACTAGGTTCGCAGATGCGTAAAAACCCGCGGGCAATATTTACGGATAAAATTCACTAACTTTCTTTCACTCTGTGGATCTGTTTCTTTGTTGGGAAATAGATGCGTGGGTATTCCTTCAGGCTGTTCAGAATTCGTGCAATAATCTAAGTTAGAACTGCCAGAAACAAGGCCGTCGTATCTGCGTTTGTTGGTTTTACTATAATTTTAATACGCGATGATGAAATCGTGTTCATCTTATGACGTCACATGGCATCAACATGGCCGATCAAAATTCGCACAGGAAGTGCCAAAAATGGCCACTCTGGAAGGCTATAAAATCGGTTTGAATTGACCAATTTCAATTCTATTTGTGGTAAACAGATCAGGAAGGAAAGCACTTTTAATTAAGCTAAAAAAATGACGGTCGAAAAATTCGCTGCAGTAGCACTTTAAAACTTTGAAAATTGGATCACTGTGATCAAAGTAAGATTTGAATGCCATTAGACGCACTTTTTTTTCTGTGTGTTTATAATGGTCTTTTACCTAAAGCAAATGTGACATGACCAAAATATAACTAAAAAAGTTTGTAGAACAAATATATTTTACTGTATTTTGGGGCAAAGTACTTCGGCAAACGGGCAAAACAAGTTTTCCATTTTCCCCTGCGGCTGCAGCTTCACGGCAAAGTTTCGAAACGTTTTATTCAGAAACCCGAAAAACAATTCTTACAATCACGTGGATTGTACTTGAATCTAACATCTTAAAATTATTGAGAGGCTGTATTTCAGGATTATACATTAGTCTAACGCTCTATCACCTCTATATGTTTGGTTACTTCACCAATTGAACAATTTAGATGTTAAACAATGTGTTTAAAGCTGATTATAAAATAAATCAATACAATTTAAAAAATGCCTGGATGGTCAAACTTTGTTTGTCGTGTTACCAATGCTCCAATTACGCCGAACTTGTAATGTAGAAGTTTTGTGGGGAAGCTGCTTGTTAATTGTCTTGGTCCCATTCAGGTTTCCCGTATTGCAGGTTTTTCCTGGCCTCCCTGACTATCCAGCTGTAGTATGAGTGATGGTAATGCTTAAACACAAATCTTACTATCATCTGGAAAAAGCTATCTTCTGTACGATTACAGCTGTAGTGGGACCAGAATTGTTCGTCTATATGGGGAATGCATATTCTGTGTATTTGTGCGGTTGACGTGTTCCAAATTGTCAACTTCAGGCCCATAGACTCACGTTATATTTATTGTAAATATAATCAGTCGAATTGTATATAGGTACTGTGCAAGGGGATTATCACCCTTTGGTTCAGGTCTACAGTTTTAACATTATAGCGCACAACTGTGTTTTAAGACCCATTATTTCCTCAGTTTATGATCACGAAACTTGCACACAACATTGCGTAAATACAAAGGATTACAAAAACAAAAACGTCTTTAAATATTCTCGTTGCCATGACAACAAGGTAATTTCAAAAAGATCGTATTTTTTCATTCTTTCTTAATCTTTTAAATTTCCTTCGGTAAAACGTTTTCATTTTCTGCACACATGAAGCTAATGTACAGTTGCTTCAAATAAGAGTTTTTAAAAAAATTGCATGAGCCAACTTTTTTAAATTCTCGAAAACCGTGTTTTCAAGATAAGATTTTTTTAAACTCGCATATTTTATGCATTGTATGATTGCTGTACAGTCCACAAAGTTTAAAAAGTTTTGACTCAAGGAAACACGAGAAAAATACAGTTAATTTTAGTAAATTTTTTGTGTACAATGCATGCATGCTGCCGACAATGCACAAAGCATGCTTCGATTCTTTATTTCATCACTTTGCAAGATTGGATTAAAAAGTAATAAGCATATTGTCTTTTCGTGTTTTGCTTTTGCTCAACCTGAACAATATGAAAACGTCCTCGAATTTATAACTCCGGCATGGTTATTCATTCAATCACAATGATTTAATCACTACAACAATTCAAAGTTCTACCTCCCGCTAGATTTTGGTTCCGAGAAGAGCTTCACCCAGCCCTCCAATTCTTTAGCCAAGCGAGCTTGACGTTCTGTTAAACCAGTGGACATCACAAGTAAATGTTTTTCCAGTCGATTGATAAGAGGAATTGCAAAACGTTCATAAACGACATCCTTTTCAGCAACTACAATCAACCTAAAAAATGAAGTTTACACAATTTTGGGAATACAGGGTGACAGAATCTTCATTCTAACTTTCACCATTGCATATGCGCCTTTTGTAAAAAGTCCCAATAATTCTTTGTGGTTGAGTTGAAATCTAAATCACAACATTAGCAGAACATGCTGTACATAGGAGCCGGGAAAGTATACAGATAAGAATGTGATGTGACATAATTATCTCTGGGTGCCTTAAGCCTGCAGCGAGGGTAGGGAAGCCTAGGGAAGTTGAAAGTGATCAAAGGATAGCGTACGTTACATGCATGCAAGCCGAAAGAAGACAGGTATATCTCAAGCTGATGCAAGCTGAAATTGGACTGGTGTCTAACAAGTTATAATTGGTTAAAATGAAATTTTTTTGTTGCATATATATATATATATATATATAAGTAGTTTAAACATCCGTACTAAAGAGATATATCGACAAAAACTAAGCATTATTTATATAAACAGATATTTTAAATAGAAGCAAATGTGGAATAAAACCTGAAAGATATTAAAGATAAAAAAGGAGCGAGAAAGTTGAGGAAGCAAAATGGCTGAACAACGAAGAAAAAACCAAAAATATTCGCAAAATGTATTGCAAAAAGATGATGATAGGAAGAGCAATGTGATTGGAAATTGTGATATATAAGGCACATATGGCTAAAAGCACAGGTCAATTAGGACAAAGCATAATTGCTTTAAATACGATTATCCCCTCGCCGTCAGCAATACCAAAGGCCACGGGCAAGGGCGTTAATCTCCGCTGGGGCATTAGGGGACCATGCATGCACACGATTGTCATACTATCAGCGATATTAGAGCTGGGATTTGTTCAACCATTGACAAAACAAAATGTCGTATTTAAAACATAAAAGTGTGGCTATGGAATAATTGGGCAAAAAACCCGCAAAGAATTAGTAAAAGGTATGATTGCTGAATGCTGACGTCCCTTAAGCTGGAGTTACACGAGCAACAAAATTGCAGCAACTTGCAACAAAATCTGATTTCAACGCATGCTAAGTAGAAATGTCAACACATGTTGCGTTGTGATTTGTAATTTATGTGTAAACATTTTCAATTAACATGCGTTGAAATCAGATTTTCTTGCTAGTTGCAGCAATTTTTTTGCTCGTGTAACTCCACCTTTAAGTTTAGAAGGTACCTAAAATAAATAGTGTGGTTTCAAAGGCAATTTTATACTAAACACAATGCTGCATGCTGCCGACAATGCACAAACAACCAGGCTTCGATCCTTTATTTCAACTTTTTGCAAGATTGTATTGAAAAGTAATAAGCAATAAGTACTAGAGCATAAGATATAACCAATGCTTGCCAAGAAAGTTGAAATTAGTCAAAAAACAAAGGTTGAAAAGTTTTAAAATATAGTGTCTCGACTGGCATTTGAACCCGCAAGTTTATAGATAAATCTGTTTCATAGATAAAACTGTTTATCGACCAAAAGTGAATAGAATATATTTTGCACACACATTATAAATGCAGGATACAACAATACTCTACGTTACGCATTATAAAACAAAAGTATTATGTGCATATCTACCCGTAGGTAACCATAGGGGCTAATCGAGACAGGTGGGTATCCATTTTTAGTATCATTATATAAGTGACTATTGAAAATTCTCCACGCTGATTGGTAGCCATTGAGGTGATTATAACGCGATAATTACCTAAGCGATTTTCGAAATGGCGGCCGAAGCCATTTTGTTTTTTGTTTTGTTAAATAACGAAGAAATGTGTATTTTTATTTCCACACAAATAATCACGTATGAAATTATACTAAAACAATTATTCACCTCAGGCTCGGTAATTATCGTGAATAAAAACCTCGACTTCGTCTCGGTTTTTATTCACTGATAATAACCTCGCCTTCGGCGAATAATTGTTAATTAGTAGAATATATGCAGTAAAGTGAGTAAACAATTATTAAAATTTTATTTAATTATTAAATTTAAAAGCCTTATGGTTCCTAGAAGGCCCCTAGCCCACTTCTTGTAAATACTTTATTTTCAGATTTATTAATGTAATCTTTTTGGGGCAAACAGTTATTATAAAAAAAATAATAAATGTGTTACAAGATGGCAAAGTCAATAATTAAAAGAAAACATAAATACGATCCAAATTAAGCAATCAAACAACCAAATATTCAAATTAATATAGCTCAATTATACTTCGGTTTAATTTCTTTTTAAACAGATTTATACTTAATATTTTTAGCGCTTCATCATTATCATTCCGGATTTTAGGGCCCGGAAAGTTAATATTAAAGACTTCATAGTTTGTAGGAACTAAAGGTAATTTACCAGGCACATACCTGGACAGCTCCTCACCTTAAGAAAGACAAATTATTAAAACTTGCAGATAGTGTTAAGTTCTATACTGCACTGTTTATATACCAGTTTGATTGAGGCAGATTTCCGGTTGCTTTTGACAACTTCTTCGTTTTTATTAATATAAAACATAATTACAATACACGGCTTGCATCAAGTGTTCATACGCTTTAAGGTGGCTCGATATAGTTATTACAAAAACCCTGCTCAGGAATCACGAACAAAACCGGGTGACCATTTATTCGCGCAGGTCGCAGAAACTGAGTAACGAAATGAAAGAACTTCCAAATTCCAATCTCACGTCATTGCGCGTGTTCTATAGCGTTTTATGTCAATTGCTGACGTCACTAGAATTCTCCATCTTAGAAAAACAATGCGCTATATCTCTCTATTTTGTCTGGTGACCTATATGTTCAAATTTTGCATGCTGTATTGCACGGCTAAAAACTTTCATTATACAAAAAAACAAAAAAATTCTGCAATGCCAAAAACATTTTACCGAAGAATAAGACATCTTCGCGTTTTCCAAATATTTTGATAATTGTTAGTTTTTCTTCCAAGTAAAATAATGCAAGAAAAAAAATGGGTATCACCATGCTTCTTTTCCAACTATACGAGGCGACAGGCCATTTTAGAGTGAATTTCCTGAATTTTTGAAAACTGTATCGAGCCACCTTAAGAAATTCATTATACGGACAGCAAGGATATAGAAGGGCTTGACATTAGTCCAATATGTATTTCCCCATATCAAAACACCATATGTAAGATATAAATAAATTATTGAATAATAAACTTGAGTAAGTATTTATATATTATTTATTTATTATTAGTTTATGAAAACCTCTTGCAGTATTAAGAACTGAATTACAGGTAATGTCATAGTAAAACTTAAGAATTTGTAAATGTGGATATATTACATATAAAAACAGAATGATTAACTATTTAACTGTACATTTACCCTAAATTTAACAGTTGCAAAGTTCTAAAATCGGTCTGTTCGATTGATTGTTGGTCTGACGTACTATTCTTTCAGATCTTAAGGAATAAGTGCATGTGGTCCGATGTAGGGAGCTGCTTGTCAATAAGAAGATACAGCGGATTGCTTGGTTTAATATTTGCGATAAATTTCTTACAGGCTGCATCTCTACGAGAACTAAGAGTCTGAATACCCGCCAAGGATAAGGCTTCTGCATATGAATGGGACGGATAAATCAAAGTCAAATCCTTTGCAAAATTTTGCGAAGAATACTCTCAAGAACAGTTACCTTTGCAAAAATCTGCGTAGATACTCTCAATGAACAGTTACCCTTATCTAGAGCCTCTAGGAATAAATGAATGATGCACACTATTGATTGCTCGGTAGATTTACCAGCATTGGCAAATTGTTTATTGTCCAGTTGTGGTAATATGGTGGGAAAAATTCTTGTTAAGGTAAAACCTTCCATTACTTTTGCAATCTGACATATCAATGATATTGGTCTGATATCTTTTTCGATGGAGTTAGGCGAACTTTTTTTTTTGGGGGGGAGGGGATTGGGGTAACAGCTGCACTCTTGAGTAGGGGTGGTAAATATCCGTTACGTAAAGATGCATTATAAATGTCTGCGATCACTGGAGCAAGTTCGAAAGCAAATTGTTTTACAGTCGTGCCAATAGAAGTGTTCCGAAAAATGTTGACCAGTTCATTTCCTAACTTGAAGGAATACCTCTGAACAATTCCTTAAAATTTTGAAAATTTCTTTAAAAAGTTCCTAATTTCCTGTTTCATTGAAGTCAGGCTAAGGAAGAACTCATAATTCTCTCGCACAATTTCTCAGTCGCGTCTACAGTGTCTCCGTCAATAAGATGTTTAAAACACTGTCCCTTTCTATCGGTCAACCAAGAGAAATTTTTTACTTCTTTCCACCACTTAGACTACTTGCATTACCATCCTTTAGATTTTTAACTTTAGTATCATAGAATAATTTCTTAGCATGTTTAATTGCATATTGAACTTTGTTTCTTCACAGTTTGAATGATAGAGAATGCTTGCCATGTTGAGCTAGGCACTTTTGTCTTCTCTTAATCCAGGATTTAATCTTGCTGGTTATCCATGGTTTATCTGAGCTATGTACTCGCGATGTTCTAGAAGGAAGATATTTGTCAATAGCTTCGGCAAGAAGTTGGTAAAAACTTCCGAATTTAGTTCGACACGCACTCTTTGTATAGACTTCTTGGCATGAGAAAGACGTTATCCATTGGCCAAAACCACGAATACGGCTCTCCCTGGTGTCGCGTCTGATGATAACTTCTTTTTTTGCTGTAGGCCGAGTCAAGTCACCTTGTTTAACCAAAAAGCAATAATGATCGCTATAGAACCAATCTTGGGCAATTGTTTAGGTGAAGCCATAAATTTCGGGTGATTGGTTATACCAGTCAAGAATTCCTGTATCACGAGTAAGAATCTCTACAATTTGTGTCAAGCCACACTGACGTTTTACGCGCTTCGAAGAGATATGTGTCGAGTTAGGATTAAAGTCACCCACAATGTAAATTAAAGTCACCTACTGTCAGGGTGGTCAGCTATAAATACAAGTCAACAGTCTTCTGAATATGGTCATATAATCTATCATTATCATTAGCTGAAGCTTGCGGAGGGTGGTATATTACTCCAATTAATATCGAGGACATTGGTCTTGGAAGGCGAGTAGGTCTTAACTGTAACCATAGAGTTTTAGTTATAAAATCAGGGGGATCATCGACGGCAAGCCTTTTACACTGGATAGATGAGTTAACGTATGAAGCTACTCCACCACCACGTGTTGAGGTTTTCATTTGAGAGTCATTTAATAGGCCAATAAAATAAATTCCTTGATTCTCATCACCGCCTGACTGTATTTTAGGTTCGACTCGTGAAAAGTTTTTATATTTCGTTATATAATATAAATGAACCGCCCGACAAAATAATTCAAGACAGTAAAGTTTTTTATATGTTATATTAGGTTTTTAGTGCCATTTTAAACTTCCAATTTCAAACAAACAGAATTTTGAAAAATGGAAATTACAGAAATGTGTAACTGGTGTAATATGTTTATTTCGCTTTGTGACACTTCACTTCGGAAATCACAGAAATATTACATAAATGTTCAAAATTATTTATTTATTTATTGATATATAAATTATATAAATATAAAATGTAAACATCCCGCCTCTTCGACATTTTCAAAGTGTAGTGATAAGAATCAAGCAATATATTTTATGTGGCCTTGAACCAGGTCGAAGTCGTCCTGGTTACTTCGGAGGTTCGTATCTTTGTAGACCGCGACCGCTCGCAGTCTAGTATCTTTGGTTAAGTACATGCTATGTAGGCGAAAATCCCACAATTCGATTCAGTGAAGAAATATCTCCTAATTACTATCGATAGTTTTAGTAAAATGTCAACATTATAGCGATCTATGGCCTTGAAAATCAAGCGAGATTTACTACGCAATTGTGTGAACCAAAATATAGACTAGCCATACCTTTCGCCGATTGCAACTTCGGATGTATCTTCTTCGTAATAGTCTTGCTCGAATCGCTATCAAAAACTCTATTTAGAGTGTTATTTTTAAGCTTGTAACTTTAAATTTGCATGTTTTATTACGGTATTCCATTTCTGGTCTGACTGTGAATTAATTTCAAAAACGTCAAAACATTTGGTTACTGCATGATTAAGGTTACAGGACACCCTTGTTGGGGTTTTGCGGAAAATCGCTACTGCGCGCTCAATAACAGTCCGATTTTCATCACATTTTCACCAAATGTTAGCCAGTGCATACAAAATACGGTAAAGTTGTAAAATTGACAAACAATAAAATAATGTAAGAATTATTCAGGAAAATCTTTAATCGCGGTACCGTTACGCTTTTGAGTTGTTTTCCTGCTGGTTTTAAGATTATTTAACAGTAGTGATACAAACAATGTCCTGCATGGCCTTAGTAAAATCTTACTAGTAATTGCATTAGCCCATTAAGTGCCAGCTGGCACTTTCCCTTTGACAAGTAAAATTGTCCGGTATTAAACAGAGTAAAATAACAAAGTAGGGTGCATTAAGGCACAATGACACTTAGAGGTTAATGAAGTAAAACATGGGTTATACAATAACTCTTAATACATGCACAGAGTTTTTCTAGAAGTGTTAGCAAACGTAGTGTTACGTGTGCAGGAATCCAAAGATGATACAAATGTATCTGACATCTTCTAAGCATTATAATTAAGGTAACTTGCTATCAGGCTTTCTGGCATCCTTGTGTAGAAAAGTAGGACAAAAGTAGGACTAGAATTTTAGGAAAAGTAGGAGTAAAGTAGGAAAATGTGTAGAAAAGTAGGACAAAAGTAGGAGTTTTTGGAGATGCAAATAACACGAAAATGTACGAAATTGGTGTCCTATGATATAAGTAGTAAGGGGTAAACCATTAGATATCTGATGGGGAAGTTGTGTGAATATTTGGTACTCATTCATCTATGCAGGATTTTTTTCTCAAAACTTTTAAATTGCATCGGAATAAAAGCTACGGCATCTGCTCTGCAGCAACACAATTCAATTATTCAATTTAATTCTATATTATGTATGCATTGTGCGGTAGGAGCATATGATGCTTGATTAACTGGGGGGGGGGGTGTTGAATTTCAGAATCTCTAGACGTCGGAAATGGCACTTTCAGAGTCTTCATTAATTTATTGAACATAATTCTAGAGATACTATGGAATTTTAAACTCGGAAAATGTACTTCTTCTCTTCCTGAGATCTTATCATCTGGGACACAAATAAGGAATAAAAATTACGAGTCCTATAGATCTAATTACGAGAACTATAACATACTGATTCCCCAAGCTGTCTTAAAAAAGTAGGATTTTATGAGAAAAAGTAGGAAAAAGTAGGAAAAGTAGGATGGCAAAAAAGTCTGTGCTATAGATAATGAAAATTTTAATAAAATAAGAATAGAACTCACTGCAACAATTATTTCGTTAAAACGAACTTACTTAAACTTGTCTGTCAACAATTATTTCGTTAAAAGGAACTTACTTAAACTTGTCTGCCACTCGGCACTTCACTCTGTGGTTTCCCAGACCAAGGTCAACGTATTTTTGCTTATCCAGATATACATAATACTATAAAAGGAAATAAGATTTCAAATTTATGTCATAATAAAGGAATACCGAATCGTTTTCAGTGCAGGATTGCGTGATCCATGCACGCGGGATGTTGCGAGACTTCCAAGTGCATGAATCATGCTATCCTGCACGGGAAAAACATTTGGTAATTGTTTCATAAAATTACTACAGTGAAACGACGGTTAACTTGATTAAAACTACTGATGAAATGTGCAGTTCTCACAGCAATCGTGAATTAACCAATCGGAGAATCGCTACTCCACGTTATTGAAAACAACAACATATGTGAACAGAATTTGATCGCAAATTCGCGAAAATATACAGCGAAAATACAGAGACTTTTTCGATAAAATATACGAAATTTGAAGTGGAAAACCCGCTAAACAGAGAGCCAAAGTAGTTTTGAAGATTCTCGACCTGAATACTTGAAGATTGCGAAGCGTTTGAACTTTGAAG